GCTTGAACAGATTACCTTCTCATAGCACCTTAAAGGGAGATTGCTACCAAGCGATGTATTCTATATGAGGGGAGAACTTTATCTGTGACTTTTTCATCACACTCCTAGTGAGGGTTGAGGGTTTTGGCAACACTTAGGAAATGCTTCATGATTCTATTAGTCAGCAGAGATTTGATTTTCAATTTTGTTGCTGGTGGCTCAAGCTAGTACTCTAAGAGAGAACTTTTTTGCTTCATCCCAACACAAGAGTCTTTTCTTTGGCAACATTGTTCTTGACATTTGTTCAGCTTCATAACAATCATATCTTGAGTAGTTCTTAGGTAACTATTTACTAAAAAGCAAAAGTTAAAAGTGGAGTAGGCTTCCTGGATGGTGACTTGCACAATTCAAAATTCTTGACATCTTTAAGTTTAGCTGTCAGAAAAACACAGATTGAAGTAGTTTAGTTTTAATTCATGAAATATTAGCAAGTAATATCTGCAGCCTGTATTAGGTTCATGCAAGTTTTAGTGTATTTAATCATCCTCATATTAAAAAGCTCTTATGTCCTTGGATATTTGTAAACATTTGAATTTATTAATGTATGTTAACTTGAATTTAAGCTAGGAAAATCAGGCAAGAAATCATACGTAATGTTACTGTGAGGACTAAATCCATTTGGCCATCTCAGTGAAGAATGTATTGTTTTTTACATTACTTGAAGTCTTTAAATCAAGTTTGTTTTTGTTTTTTGTTTTTTTTTTTTTTAAAGAAAACTCTAAGTCACCCAGAAGATATGAGTTTGACATAAGAATTACTGAGTAAAATTCTGTGGCCTGTGTTTATGTAGAAGGTAAGACTAGTTGATCATAATCTTTTTTGCTTTTTTTTATATTGAATGTGTCACTTTTCTTGGTAGCAGTGACTTTACCTGGCAGAGTGAGCGAGCTTTGGTTTCTTTGAGACTGATCTACATTTATACCACTTTTTACAAGGTTAGAATGATGCTACAGATTCTTTATGAGATTCCTGTCCAAAACGATAACAGTTTTTATCTAAAGAAGCTTGTTGTTATGTGATTGTGTTTCTCCACACCCTTATGCTTCCCTCTTTGAGGCTCTTTCTCCTCACTTTTGTGACTTAAAAAGTTCTCAGATTTCTACCTAATGAGCTCTGATCTTAATAAGAAAATACACCAACTTTTGCTTCCCTTGTAACCTATTCTCAAGGCTTCATAATAAATCTCCACAGGTAGGCTGCCAGCTCATACATTAGTAAAAGTATAGGTGTTTGAATATTGGACATATACTTCCTAAAATTATTTTAGTAATTCAAGTCAAGTGGAAGCTAATGGCTTAATAACAAAAGCTCCCAGTTTTGAAGTTGGACCCAAAAAATTGCTTTCCTTTTAAGTTGATCAATTTTCACTTCCATGTTTTGATGGAGTTGGTCAGTTCACTTAGTTTTCCAGGCAAAATTTCCTAGAAAACAGAAGGTAGTGTTGTAAAAGGGCATTTCAGAGTTTTTGTATATCTTAAAGTATTTAAAATGGGCAAAGGTTCTTTTCCTGTTTTGTCTTTCTATCTTTGATTCTTCCATTTCCCCCACTGATGTTGAAATGGTCTTGCAGTCTTATAATGTTTAGCTGCCTAATGTTTAACATCCCTCTGAATGAAGGGTTATAATACTTGTCTCCTTTCCATCCTATTTAAAATAGATATGGAGAAAGACCAAGGATTAATTCCACAAAAGGAGTTGGGTGTTGCAACATGTAACTTGTAGGTATCTGCCTCTGAGTGGAATATGTAACCCTGAGTTTGGCATCTAAGTTTGCTGTAAATGTGTGTTATATGCATTAAGATGCCCAAAAATGTGATTTTTTGCAATACACAGCACACTGAACAGGCAGCTGCTGCGTACTCTGGCAAATAGGCAGTACTGAAAAGAGGGATGTGTCTTAAATTCTTTTCCTTTCTGTCATTTAGAGAACCCTACAATATATTTACAATTTGGAACTTTCTTCTGGAGTTAGGTACCTACACTGTTCTCTTCAGAAATGAAGGAAACTTATAAAGCATAGCTAGAGGAAGAGGAACTGATCAAGTTGTTTCCCTTTATACAATAGCCAGGAGATATAGACTTGAGTTGTATATTTTCCTCTGCCTTACAGGATTTAAACCTATGTCACTCGCCTCGAGAGTGTCTTGACCATCTGTGTGTCAGTTGCTTAGTTGTGGGAAACCCCCCCATCTAAGTTTGGCCACTGTGCAGATATGCATTTGAGAGCCAGTACAGGGAGGAGGCACAGCCCAGTAATTAGGATGCTTCTCTCAAGGTTCTGAATTTGGTCCTTGCTGTGAGGACTGCTTACTAGGGTTGTACGAAACAGGCCATATTCGATTTGGATTTGGGCCAAATTGGGGACAGTGATTCAATTTAGTTGATTTGGATCAGTGTCCACTATTTGATTCGGCTAAATCCGAATCTGAAGATTCAAAGCTGATTCGGCGAATCAGTGATTTGGTCATAGATGCAGCTTTAAATGTTTTTTTTCTACCAACCTTGAAGTACCAGGTGTGGCTCGTGAATGCTGCGATGCTGGGGTAGATGGAGCGTCCCACAGGAGTGCAGGGGGGGCTCCCTCGTGCTCGGGAGCGAACTCGGAAGTGGACTGAAAGTATTTCTGGTCCACTTCTGGGTTTGCCACCTAGTGTGTGGGGGACTTCCTTGGCTTGGTGATCAGCCATGGGGGGGACCCCAGGTATTCCCCTCCCCACAGAACCAGGAGGCACCAGTTGCCAAGCTGGGAGGTGCAGGAGGGACCCCCTGTACACTCCCCGGTGGACCAGAAATGCTTCTGGTCCACTTCCCGGTTTGCTGCTGAGCATGCTGGGGAGCCCCCCACGCTCCTTTGGGATGTTCCACATACCCCACCATTGCAACATTCATGAGCCACCTGGTACTTTGAGGTATATAGAAAAAACACTTAAAGCTGTGTCTATATCTGAATTGTTGAATCTTTCAGAATCTCTCCGCATTATTTGGAATCCTCCAAATCAGACTTGGAGAGATTAAAGGGTCTTCTGATTCAGTTCGGATTCAGACATTCAGCCACCGAATCGGGCTGAATTTCTGCCGAATCAAAACGGACCGAAGCTTTGCACAGCCCTGCTGCTTATGCATTTCATGTGAAACAGGCCTTGGATAAAGATAATTGTTGGGAGTGGAGGGGAAGGAAGAGCTGTGAGGAATTGAAGGTGATGACAAAGTTCAGAATATTGGTTTGGATACATGTAGAGTCCTTCAAAAGAAGATATGAGTCCAAGACTAGGTATGTTTCAAGGTGTTCTTGTTCATGCTACATTTTGTTTACACAGTTGTAAAGATGTTTTGAAACTAATGCGGTATATGGTTTATTTGATGAAACGATGCTGTTGTGTGCGTCTGAGTGTGCGCAGAAAATTATTGAGAAATGAATGCTGTTCTTAAATGTTTTTCCTTGCTGTCATCTCTAATTGAGGTTTGGTTCAATGCATTGCTGGAGTTGCCTTTACATGTGGTGCGTGTCTGGAGCTGTTGTAATATGTCCCGACTGGAGGATGTTCTGCTCTGCAATTGAGGTTCCATCTCCTTCCCTCCTCCTTGGGTCATATTGGGCCTGAGCTGGATCTTAATAATGTTCTGAATGTCTATCAGTTTGCTCTAGCTTTTCCTGAGGGCATATTTGAGTAGTAAGAATTTTAGATCTTGCTCCAGAGGCAAATTGTCTCTTAGTCATGTTGCTGTCATATATCAGCATAGATTTTTTTTTTAATCCATATTTGTGTACATGCGGCTATAAAGATAGGTTCAAACTATACAGATAAAAGAAAAGTGTTAGCTAATTCTTTAGTATTTTTCATGTATGACTAGGGATATGTAATAATTATTCCCTAGAAAAGAGGTTAAAATGTATCCTATGCACTCGATTTTGGCTGAACAAGATCTGGCAAGTTACAAAGTCACATGGGGCTGCTTACTTTGCCATCATACCTTTTTTCTGGATGTAAGTGTTAAAAACAGGCTAGATTATGTTATTATTCTATATAAGTATTTGGATGCATTTCAGTTGAAAAAGTCTGTGAAGGAGGGACTATCTTTGTATACTGTGATTGTAAATAGCACAAGCACAATTGGGTCCTGAGCCATGACTAGGGCTTCTAGGCACTACAGAAACACAGGAATATAATGCAGGTATATTGGAAGGGAGATGTTCACTGCATAACATGTTTTAGGCCCTTTTACATAGATTTCCTCCTGTGAAAGCCTATACGGTTAAACAAAAAGTATATTCTTAAAGTAAATGCATTTAACTTATTTAAACTAGAGATGCACCGATAAAGATTCTCTTGGCCTATACCTATAGCCAGTTATTCACCAGGCATATTGGTCGATACCAATCCAGTAACCGATTTACAGGAGCACAGCCAGGCAGTGTGGAGAGCAGCTCCCTGTAGATAAGTCTGTGGAGGGAAAGGGGTGTTGGGGAGTGGAGTGGGGCAGATTGAGGCCCCCATGATGAGGGAAGGAGGGGACAGGGGATGGGATGGGGGGAGAGGGGGCGCTGCCAGCCAGGGTAGTGAATGGGATCCTGGGGCTGGGGCGGGAAGCAGGACAGAGCCATGGGTGGCTTGTCCAGAGGATCAGCGTCCTGGCACTTAAAAATGGTGGCAGGGGCGATTGAACTAAAGCTTGTCAAATGAGCTTTAGTTCAAGTACTGCTGCCACCATTTTTAAGTTCAGGGATGCTTTTAGGAGCAGGGCTAAGCAGGATGAGGGTGGAGGTGGGTTGCATGCTGTGGGCTTGTGGCTCTCTGCCCTCCTGCGTTTTCCCTGGGAGCCACATGTTGACCACGCGTCCCCTGCTTGCCCGGCAGTGGGAGGCACAGCTTGCCACCATCCCTGCAGCCAGATGGGCAGGAGGTGAGTAATCAGCTTGTGGCTCCCTGGGCAAAGGCAGCAGGGTGGAGAGCCATGAGCCCACAGTGAGCAGTCCGCCTCCTCTCCATGCACAAATTCAAGGGGGTGTATGCCCCTGCTTTGCCTCCCCCAGGGACACACGCAGTGCCAGGACGCTACCACCCCTTCCCACCTCCCCACGCCCACTGGGCGAGCTGCCTGCGGCTCTGTTCTGCTCCCCACCCTGGCCCTGGGTCCCATTCACTGCCCTGGTTGGGCACTGTCTCCAGCCCTTGCCCCCGCCCCACTCCCTCCCTCACCATGGGGGCCTCAATCTGTCCCCCTCCTTCCCCCCACACACACCTCCCTTCTTCTCCACAGACTTACCTGCAGTGCCCTGCTCCTCATGTTC